AAATACCTGACTTGTTCTTTGTAAGCCAAGACACTGTCATCTACAGCAGAAAGCTTGTTGGGCTGTTGGAAGTATTGAGGGCAAGGTGAGACTCCATGTATTAATTCAGACTCTTTCCTCATCAGGTCCAAGATTCTATACAAGACAGCAGTCCACCTACTGATGAGTTAGAGAGAAGTGGAAAATTGTATCGTGTTCTTTGCCAATAGTATTTTTATGTGCATAAGGCCAAAACAAATTTCTTCTGATCTTTGTAAGGAGGCAGTAGTTTTCTGTTGCAAAAGAGGGGTATTTACATGGTGCACACTAAATGTGAATATTGTGTGGTTGTTTCTAGAGACAGTCATTTCAACTTGAACTGATATTTTTTTGCAGAAGAATGCCCCTATGTAACAGCCCTTCTTTCTAATTAGATACTGTAGGATTCTTAGGACATGGAAATCTAGCAGAGAAAGCATTCGTGATAGAATAAGGTGTTGAAGCTTATTTTGAATCTACCAAAAAAAAAGAAAATAACTGAATAACAAAGAACAGACTGTGTTTGATTACCAGGCTATAAACCTTAGCATGCAGTGCTTAAACATGGAGGAACAAATTTTCTACCAGGCTGGTGCTATTGTGTAAAGATGGATTTGAGCCAAACTCCCAGATTTGAAACCCCAGGAACTTCAGTAGACTGAGACCAATCCTTGGCTTAGGTTCATCTCAGATGTTGCAAGCACAGCAAAGGTATTGAGCATTCACAGTAGCAACCAGAGATCCAAAAGGGGATGGTTTATGCATAATCCATTCACTATTTACGCATGCAAGAGTCATATCAGTGCCAATATGAATATTTGTCCCCTTGATCATTTTGTTTGGGAGCATCTTTGAAAACCTGCTGAAGCATATCACAAAGGGAATGTTTCTGGCATGTATCCTAAGTACTTGAATCTGTTACCTACTACTCTCTTCAGTGGGAAGAGCTTTATAAGGCTTCTCTAATTTTACATCAATAACGAATCACTTGCAGACTGTCCTCACCTCGGTGGTCCCCTCTGACAGCCCTTTCCCATAACAACACCTGACATCAGGTTCCTAGGTTGAATGG